AAATGTGATATTTCAAAAATGATTATCACAAATTTCAACCAATAAAATCGCTCGAAAGTTAAATGTCCATTATGCTCATCGCTTATCAGGTCGATTTGAGAACATTGTTAATATTGTAAAGAGCCAGAAAGCCCAACTATCTGAAATGCAAAGAGACCAACAAAATAATAACATTATTAAACACAATGAAGATCTTGCAGTGATTGAAAAGAAATTACTTTATGTGAGAAAATCATACAAGTATCTTTATGAACAATTGAAAAAGAAATCAGATTGCGGTTTACATAGATTCCTTATTACTGGAACATCGGGAATCGGAAAATCATGTTTCTTAATATACGTCTTAATGCAACTTTTATGTGAGGGGGTCACTGTCATTTTCCAGCCTCTTAATGATCCAGACAGATTTCTGTTGTTTCAAGGATTTATCAATGACCTGTGGAACATTTAATGATTTCAGAACTTTACTCGATTCACCTACTACATGGTACCTGGCAGATGGTATAGTATCTCCAAAAATAGTTCCAGCAACGTCACTAGTCTCTTTATCACCAAATGGAATTTTAAAAAGTGATTTTAAAGAATATGACAAGCGTCATCCAATTGAATATTATATGGATCCGTGGACATTAGAAGAATTATTATATTGTCGGGAGCATGCTTTTCCACTAGTGCCGGAAGAAATAGTGATTAATCTTTTCCATAAAGCAGGTGGAGTACCTAGATACGTCCTCCGGAATGTTGAGATGCCAATAAGAGATGTTGTTGGAAATAAAGAAGAAATACTGGATACTGAAGAAAAGGAAAAAATTGAGGAACAAGCTTATAGTCGTATTGAATTAGCCATTTCAAAGACCAATAACTTCGATAAGATTATTAAATGTTTTACTGAAGATGAAAAAAGTCGTGTCGAAATTAGCAATCGAATCATTCACTACAAATGAGCCTTTTCCTATGTGTTCGAGAGAATTCAGGAAAAACTAGAAGAGACAAAATACGACTTATGCGAAATCCTTATGAGGCTAGCACAAGGGGATTTTATTTGAGTGTTATGTAATCCACCTATTTCGTACTGGAAACCAGAAATTTGAAGTAAAGGTGAAGAAAAAGATCAATTTTTCATACATCATAAGCCAGAAGCTGGGTTCGTAAGAAATTTATCCGATCTCTTAAAGTATTCTGGAGAAAACAAAATTTTGGTGCGGTAGACTTATTTGTAACGCCTAATTATATTTTTCAAGTCACAGTGTCGGAATATCATCCTATAAAACAAGTTGAGCTGAAAAAAGTAATCACAAACATGCCAGTCTATATTAGTGATCAAAATGCTAAGATTCAACTTTACTTCGTGGTTCCGGATGATATATATGACAAATTTAAATATCAAAGTTACACAACTCGAGATAACGACTCTAATAAAGATCGGCCAGTCTTGAGAATGAATTCCGCCATTAAAAATGTCGAGCAATGGGCTCTAAAAGTACAAATCAATCTGATATTAGAAGAATAATAATTTTATACAAAAATAAATAGAAAATTTTTTTCTTGTATTATACAGCTTTTACGATGTTGGAGGAAATTTATTAAATAATCTTGCTTTTGTTTGAAGAATAAAAGTTTTTACTCTGTGAAATGTATAAGTTTTGACTTTATTGAGTGAAAATTTACTGAATGCTTTGCGGAAGAGAACAAAATAACATGAATTAGCGAGATCTATTTTAACTCAATTTTGCATTTACTGCGCTACATTACTGCACAATTAGTGGACACGCGTGTCATTTTTATGTAGTTAAGCATAAATAAAAAGTAATAGTTAATTAACACTTTGTCCTTTTTTAACTTCATCTGCGAAATTGATTTTAGTTTTAATAAGCTATATTGATCATCACAATTCTTTAAACAGAGGAAAAAAACAAACCTTTTTTCGTAAATGTAATAAATATCAACCCAAATGGATTATGTACGTACAATACATTATCTGATTTCTCTCGGTATATATGTTATTCCTGTTGGCTTTCTATCTTAGCAATTATATCATCAACGTTTCTAAAAATAAATTTACCAAAACCTAAAGATTTTGGCCACCAAGTTGTTATAGGCGTAGAAAGGACATGCATGTGAATATGATTAATGCTATTAAAAGGCGGAGAAGTAAAACCCATCCTATTATTGCAAAAATGAATAAGATTGAATTTTATTTATTTATTTTTAAAAAATAATGATTATACTTACAAATATGCTCTTTCTTTTCTATTATTACTTTTTGATAATTCATCAACTGTTTTACATAATCTACCAGAAATAAGTTGTAAACCGACTTCTTTCATTTTTTTAACTACAACATGAATATATTATTTGTTATTTTTTTTTTTTAAAAAAAATAAAATAAAATTCATATATATATATTAAATATTCAATGATTTAATCGAATGAAAATGAATGATTTGAAAATGCAAATTGATTAAATTACCTGTTTCTAAATCATGACTTTTTAAATTGTTAATACTTGCGATATGTTTTTTTGGTACGATAAGAATGTGATTATTCGCAGCTGGTTTTATATCATTAAATGCCACAATACTTTGATCCTTATTTTTTTTTTTGTTTAATAAATTTTGATGAACAAACGAAGGATTTATACTCGAATGAAAATTAATTCTAATAAATATACTTACAACATGTAATAAACTTGTAGCATCTCTTCCTGATGCTATTGTACAAAAAGCACATTGATTTTCCGAATGCTTGTGTTCCTGATGACCATTATCAGAAGACATCTTTCAAGTTATTTGAAGAAATAAAAAAATTTTAATTTAATTTGTGTTATATATTAGGATGATTTTTTTTATGAGAAAATGAAAGATGGAAATTTTTTTTTTTAATTTATAGAGGTACACAAATTTCTCCAAAAGGATTAGCATTACAATTAAATGTGTCATTGTTGACAAAATATGGAATATAGTAACCATAGTATAGTAGTATACATTTCTAAATTTGATACATCGTTCAATGAAACATATATTTTCAATGAATTTTTTTTTTTAGCAATCGGGTTTTTCGCCATTTAAAGCATATTCTTTGAAATAATCAAAGAATGATGAAGGTTCGAATTTTTTGCATACAAAGACTTTTTTTTTTTAAATGATTATATCAAATTAATTTGGGGGTATTAAAGGAATTTTCGAAAATTATTTGATGAATTTAGATAAACCGATGACTATTTATCGTACAAAAGACCGTGAAAATTCCATGGAAAATCCCATTCCACAAAAAGGTCTGTCATAGAAAACGTGTTTTTTTTTATTATACAAACCTTTTAATTCGCCGAAAGAAATGACATCGAACTTTTCGCGTTCAATAAATAAATTAATTCCTTTTTTTACGAAAACATTTCGGTGCATCCAAAACATAACAACAAAACTGCACATTATTATAAACAATTACGATTGAATTACCAGCCAGTAAAGAGACGAAAACTTATTATGGTGAAACAAGGATTTATTTGTTATGAGAATTTAGCCACAAAATTTTCATTTAAACATTTTCTAAGACAAATAGATTTTTTTTTTTTTTGATCTATTTTCTTATCTCTCCTCTAAATCAAGAAATCAAGAAATGTTTCGTTGTTAAGCGAACAAATAAACATGCAAATAAAAAAAAATATGGTATCTCCGACATTTTTTCTTTGCGCAACGTGCCGGAAACGGGCGACAAAAATTTATTAAAATCAATATTAAATATTGACAAATAAGCTAACCGATTCCACTTCTGCATCAACGACACGTTTTTTTCGGCAAGAACAAATCAGTACCGCAGTTATCGAGTTATCGCCGATGTATAATAAATTAATAGTCTCGTGCGTTGACAATCTTTCAATGCACTGGACATATATAGAGGTTCATTTATCTCTGCATTTTATCATCTGTTGCGTAACCATGAGATCTCGTGACGAAATGAACTTTATTTATGAAGATTTAAGTTTTAACTGACTCACGTGAAAATAACAAAAACTAGTAGGTCATGAGATTTGGTGGCATGATTTGTTAGTGGCTTCCTTTGTCATTTAAAACGCGGGTTTTGAAAAAAAAGGATCCTCACAAAATTTACAAAATTTTTAAAGCATTGTTTTTTCATGCCCAATGATGCCCGATTATGTTTGATAATGCAATGAATCTATTGATGAACCCAAATCTTAACTATGTGAATCTCATCAGTGCTGCGCCATTCAATCATGCTACGCTAAGTCTCAAGATAATTGCGTCGAAAATTCGAATTTCTCATTTAAAGTATTGTTGCATATGCATCCCAAAAAGATTTTTAATGTGGAAACATTTGAAATTCATGAAGATAAAGGATGTCTGTTCCAAGCATGAGAATAACCGTTTATTTTGCATTGTTTATTTATTTATTTATTTAATTAATGTACTGTTCTAATTTCTTTTTGGCCATAAGAATGTTTAAGAGACTTCTTGATTTCAATCTTATCCTTGAATTTTTTTTGATCCACATGCACAACATAACATACATGACGTTCGGTAAAGCGACGAACATCAAAACCTACGCGTAAAATTATATATGAGTCCTCGCTGCCGCAGTATAATAACAAGGTTCTGTTTAACTTTATTCCGAAAACCCCCTTTCAATACGAATCTATCCTTTTTTAGAAATGTATTTCAATTTAGGCGGCAAATCCTGCAACAACTTTGGTTTTGATTTGGTGTAAATATGTAAATATTTAATGTAATGTATAATAATGTAATAATGTAATAAATAATTTACAAAACCTGTCACAATTTTTTTTTAATTGAAACCAGAAATGTAAGTAATCTGTATCAATCTACTTTGCTTATTACTGCATTTCAAATTTTAATTTTTTTTGATGACAAAAAATCAAACGCCCAATAGGTAGTACGGGATTATCACGTTCTCCCTATCCCTATCAACTTTGTGGGAACTTTCAAAGGAACGAAGAGAAAAAAAACAAAGAGCGAAAATTTTCAAAGGAAAAAATCCCTGACACGGCATGAATTGTTGTACCCCGTTTGAAGGTTGCAGAAATATATTACCATTTACATATGATACACGTCTATGAAATTCATTTTTCCATTGTTAATCCTTTAAGGTACACCTTTTTTTTTTTTCTTACTCTCCTTTTTTAATTGAAAATTAAGCTTACCTTTTTCTAATTTGATGTCATGATGCTGGTTATGTAATTATCTTTTTTCAACTTTTTGAGATCAAATAAAAAAAAATTCAAGTATAGGTGATACGTTAAACAGTTAAATAAAAAAGCCTCAGCTTTTTTTCTTTTATGTTATGGACGATCCTTTTTTAAAAAAAAAATATTTGTCGCGGCTGACTCTTATCCAAAGAGTCTAATAAAGAAACTGATTGTATTAATAATAATATATATTTAATAAACTATCAATTTATACTATTAAGAATATTTAACTATTATGGAATGAAAAAATTTTTTAATCGTCATTCAAGAAGATAAACGTTTCATAAAATCAGCAGAAACCCAAGCACTGCGTGATAAAAAAAAAAAAAAATAAATAAATAAATAAAAGATTAATAATTCATTGTATTCATTGTGAATTTGTTGAAAAAAGGTATAAAACCCTCATCTTTTGTTACTCATTTCTTTTGTCTTTCTAAATCCCTTGGTCACAAAAAAAATTAAACTAAAATAAAATAAAATCAAAGAGTGAGACAAAAACGTAAAATTTGCGCTACCCAATAAAGACTACAACCAAAACGTTACTCAACAACAATATCATTAAAGACCATCCATTCATCTTATTATTTAAACACAACGAAATTTTCTTTTTTTTTTTTTTTTTTTTTTTCTTTTCTTTACTGCAGTCGCATGCGACAAGACAGTAATAAAAGAATTTTTTTCCTTTAAATTTACTATTATCAAAAAAAAAATACAATTATACATATATCATTATCCAAATCCATACATTTATTTTATCTATACAATCCTGAATCCTGTTAAATATGTCTGCTATACCACAGTTGCACGTTACAGTCGTTAGGCATGCCGAAACGAGCTCTAACTTGAATCGTATTTTACAAGGTCATATAGGTATGTTGAAGGAGTTTTTATATTGCCGTCAATAAATTTGGAAGTATGACAAAAGTTATTCACTATTTACATCCCTTTGACACGTTTGTTCCTATTTTAGATACAAAATTGAATAAAACCGGTAGAGAACAGGCAGAGTCTGTTGGACGACGGTTACGAAAATTAAAGATCGATCATATTTATTCAAGTGATTTATCCAGAGCAAAAAAGGTATGAAAATATATTAATACACCTAAATAATGATATCTGTGATTATCGTATTTCTCATATTTCTTGTAATTTCAATGATAGACGGCAGAAGCCATCGCTAAACATCATTCTGGCGTACCATTTTCGGTGGATAATCGAATTCGTGAAAGAGTAAGTTTTAAATCATTATTATTTATTTTTTATTTATTTATTTGTTTATTTTCGCTCAA